CCAGCAGATCTGTCCTTCACTACAGACTCTACACTGGGGCTCTACTTCTCATATGTAAATAATAATGACTGTGTGTGTACTTAGAGTGAGTAGGTTCTCATTCACACAGAATTAGAGGTGAATATTCCTGCTTGAGGAGATAACATACAGAACACGTAGTCTGCAACTAGACGTCTCTGGATTTTTCTTTCAGAAGAAAAGAGTAAATAAATAACCATTTTCATTTATTCATATACCGTGTTTAACCACACATACACACTTTGAGAAGAGACAATATTGACTTGAAGATCCTTATTGGATAAATAGGATGAATTGGATCCTGTTTATTATATTCCCATACATTTCACAAATGTTTAAAACAATTTATGAATTAGCCACGTGTTGTGTCTAGACAGACATATCAAAGGTGACTGCGACAGGTGGCAAGACCAGCTATAGCAGCACCATAAAGAATCAGTAAGCAGCATTCAGACAAGATGATTTCTTAAAAAACACTTCTGATCTTTCTACATTCTTTGTCGGTGAAACTTTTTGTGCCAGTCACCTGAGCTGTAAATGCTAATCACACTGCAAAACACCTATTAATCTATTAAGACTTAAATATCGCTTGAATTTGTTTTGTCAGAATTGTTGAGTGTTTTAAATGCCAGTCATGGAGAAACTTTTGTCTGCACTGTAAAAGAGAAACAGAAACAACGACAGAGAGAGTGAGAGGAATGCCTGTTTATCAAACTATTCATAAAGATGAGTCATCTTGTCCATCCCAGACTCTCCATCACAGAGGCTTGCATCACTTCACAACTTTTTGTGTGTGTGTTTTAAGTATCAGTGTGCTGTTAGCTCATACTGTAAATGCGCACACACCATGAACCATCAATAAACACAAATTCGCTCAAGTACCAATACACATGACATATCTGCTGCCTTGAGATTTTTAGAAATCGTATTTTTCTCTATTCACAGTTGCACTTGCTAGAGTAGACTGGACAAACAATAAGACATGACCTGAATCATGTTTAGCCTCATGTTTTATTTTCTGGCAGAACATGGCCTGAGGGAATTAAAATACAGTTCACCCCCCAAAAAATTAATTTTGTCATCATTTACTCAACCCTTATGTCATTCTAAACCTGTATGGTTTTCTTGATTCAGTTATTTTTGACAAACATCCTGGCTGCTCTTTTCAGTGTAATGAAAGTAAAATAAAGAACTGTTGCTGTATCATAAAGTATCGTAAAAGTAATTAATATAATTTGTGATTTCGATTTTAAATCTTCTGTGTGATGAACAGACTCCTTGGTGCATTCATTAGGAACTGTGATGTCCAATTCTTGAACAAATTGTTCTTTTGAACCTTTCCAGTGAATCAGTTGATCCAGTTTTAATTTGTTCATCACAAAACTTTTTTTTCTTTGCAAGACTTGAAATATATGTCCTACTTTAATGATCTTTAAAATACTTTTACTGTGCCTTTGAAGCTTAAAATCTCCCCTCATTCACTGGAACTGAGGGGACCATGCAAGGGCCACTTGTGCTTTAAGGGGGCACACTTTTAAAATTAATCTTAACCTACTTTCAGTATTATTCAGTCAGTCATTTTTAACCATGTCATGTATCACTGCAATCTCTAGAAGTGAGCATTAACAATTTCAACTCTCTGAAGCACTCGGTCTCTGCATGAGTTCTCGCTTTGAGTAATTTCCTCTTGACATAAAAGTTATGGCACGATGAATTACTTTTTTCCATTACTGCCACCCACAGGACAAACTACGCATTGCACCCAAAATTGTTTGGTGTGATATGATTCTAAATTTAGGGGGGGGGAGTTTGTTGACACAAGGGCACTGCTCCCACATCCTCCCATCCCGCCCCTGATGTCCAGTATGTATAAATATCCTGTTGTATTACACAATAAGTCACACAGATTTGGCACAACATGAGGGTGAGTAAATGATGACAGAATTTTCACTTTGTTTTTGGGTGAACTATCCCTTTAAGAAGGTATCAATATTTTGTAGAGTCACAATGTTAATGTAAACCATAGTGTATATGTGTCTACGTCTACAGGGTGTGCATGTTGTACTATCTATCAATAGACCATAATGAAATGTAGCCACTCTAATATTACCAACAGGACTCACGTCCCATTTGAATAACCACAAAGTTGAAGCCTGCCGTAGTTGCTGATAGATACTCTTTTTGTTGATAGTGATATGTTAGTTAGAGCGTGCATGAATCAGTGTTGGCAATACAATGGAAAATCCAGGTGGGAGATATTCACAGTGCTTTTTCCCCTGAGGAGCTCTGGCAGCGCTACCCTTCTCACAGGTCTGATCGATGAGGTGTAAATTGAGTGAGCAGAAGCTTCTGGCTGCCAGAGAGCTCACAGGTGAACAGGCTAGTCGCTATGAGCTGTTTCTATATATTACACCGTGGCTGGGGCCTATAATTCAGTGCTCCTCTCCCTTTCTTTGGAGAAAAACTAGAGCTGCATTTTTTTGCATATTGCTGAAAACAGAAGATTTTTTTTTTTTTTGCAGTACTAGGAGATTTTTTTAATGTTAACCAATGCATAGCTAAATTTATTCCCATACAATTCATATGTGGGTAAAAAAAGTTGGATACAATTAGATATTATAATTTATGCATTTTGCAGCCATTATCAAATATAAAAAAATAACTTAAATTGCATCTAAGCTATACATTTGATCAGTTTATGCTTTCCTAAGGAATTGAACCCATGACCTTGGTGTTGCTAGCCCCATGCTCACAAGTTGTAAATAATAATTAAATAAATAAATAAAAATAATTTGGTTGTTAATTTAGATTACGAATAACAGATGGAAAATGATGGGAAAAAAACATTTCGCAAATGGAAACTAGACGTATTTATTAAAAATATTTGTACTATTTCTATATGTATATTGTGCTTAAATTGCACATTAAATATAAAAATGATCAAAGACATCTTAAATTACTGGGTTCTTTCAGGATTTTTAGTGCTTTTTAGTGCTTATTTATTAATTTATTTAAACCAGTGAAAAAGCATGTGTAGTAAATTTTGTGGTTTTCAGACATTTTTTATTATTTTTGGAGTGTTGTTTCCCAGAATCGTGTAGGCAGTGCAGATCAAATATGATGAGAAACTACTAATAAAATACTGTGACTAGGATAACATGTTAATATTACTTTTGTTGTTGAATGGGTATGCTCGCAACCCCAAAATAAATAAATGCATGCATACATAACATCCATGTCCCCAGCAGGGCTTCCCATTACCTTCCCTTGCCTATCTCTCTGTCCTGCACAAGCCCTCTCTTGCATCAGTCTTGGTGTATCGCCATGGCTACATGTTCTTCTTACTTACTTGTTTGTGTGTTTGAAGATCCCAAAGTGAACGGTGAGGCAGCTAAAGCAGCACTGGCCAATGAGGATTGTCCCCACATAGACCAAGCCAATTCCCCTGAGGACGGTCAGATCTTTAACCCAAGCCAGCCGCGGGGAGACACTCCGTGTTTTCTGCTAAACGTCGGAGGACGATCCACAAACACGGGCACCCGAGTGAGGAAGGGTATGTAACCACTGTGTGAGGCTATTGCCTGACATACATAAACACACACACACACTCACACTCACACACACTCACACACACATATGTATATATTAGGTGCATTACACAGTAAATAACCACAGTCCGAACATACAGACAAGCAGAGCGCGCCCACAACAGACAGTTTATAATGATGCAGTTTAATAACTGCAGTTTAATCACAAATGAGACCAAATTTCGACGTAAATGTCCACCTCAGCCATCTCCGATTTTAGTCAAAAAGTTTCACTTCCTTACTTTTATTATTTTTTAAAACACTACTGTCAACATTTTTCATATGTAAATAAAATGAGACAGGGAGTATCAGAATAAAGACCCTTCCCTGCACGCTCAGATCCTTCCACAAGTCACATTTCGCCAAACCTCTTCTCTTTTAACATATTGTAAATAAGTTTTTTCACACCATGCTGCATTATGTCAAATTCATATTAACACACATACAGCTGCCTCTTGGGGCCAACCTTAATCTTCCCTTTTTTCTGTTTTTCTTTGTTGTTTGTTTTTTACTTGTTTCTTCCACCACTGTATGGCTGTGGTGCGTCTCTATGTTTGTACCTCCTTCCATCTCTCCCTCTCTCCCGTCTTATGCTAGCCGGAATGTTCTCAGGGAGGTCAGGGGCGGAGCCAGCCGGCCCGACGCATGGCACACAGGGTTACCCACTTCTGCAGCTAGGCTGGGCGCACAGCCCAGAAGATGGCCATGCCAGGGTCACCACCTGAGATCCATCCCTGTTTCGCTGTCATACGTTCAAACAGCCCACAGCAGCCTTAGATAAATAAAAGGCCCCTACACGCTATGTAGCTTTACAGGCTGTCAATTAACGTCAGCAAATGTAGTGATATAAAAACCAACACACGTTCATGTTATCTCACACCTGTTCTAGTTTGACCCCTGACCCCTGCTGTATGAATAGACTTCGGATCACACCTTAGAGTGACCTTTCCACAATAATTACACCACTGACAGCAACAACATAAACCGGTCATTTCTGATCACATTCAAAAGAATATCCTGCTATATACATCGATATATTGTACAGCATATAATCAGCACCCCTATATTTTTCAGTAGTTGCTAGGAATAGTTGCTATTAATTGGATTCACTCACAGGGAA